AAAAAAGACCTAGGGCAAGGTTATATCTAATCCCGGAACCCTGTCATCACTGGGTTCCTCCCTCTACGATCACAGCCTCAATCTCCTACGACAGTTTGCCCCGAGCTCTGGTCTCCCCTCTGCCCACACCCCTCAGCGAGCTGTGCTGCATTAGCATATGGCCAAAGCAGGGACAGGTTCCCTCAAAAAAGAAACTCCGAATAGCTTCTTAGCCAGGATTTGAATGTACGCCACGTTCCCTGGACTTCACTTTAGTGTATTTTTTTCAAGTCGGGTGTATTGAGAGGTAACTGACATGTAGTGAAGTTTCCCTCCTGTGGGTGCAGAGTACTGCGAATTTGGAAAACCTCAGGTGACCTCCAGCAGTACCAAGGGGCGGCACATCTCTGTCACCCCACGACCTTCCTCGTGCCCTCCCCCTGCCCCCGGCAACCACTGATGGGGTTTCTGCCCCTGGAGGTTGGCGCTCCCCAGAATTCTGGTAGAATGTGGCCCTGGAGCCTGTGCACAGGTGTCCTTGAAAGGGGACAGGAGGAAGTGGAGGAAACATCCCCCAGCCCGCGTGCGGCCGGTGGCCTTTGTCTCAGCCCAGAGGCTGACGGTCCCCTGTCCTTCCCAGTACCTGCTCTCTCCAGAGACCATCGAAGCGCTCCGGAAGCCCACCTTTGACGTCTGGCTCTGGGAGCCCAACGAGGTGAGTGAGGGGCCCCCGTGCCAGCGTCACGGGCACCCCAGATCTCTTCCTCCTCTCTGGTCTTTGTTTTTTAACTTGATTCTGCAGGTTTTACTCCAAACTGACTCCGGGCAGGCCCAGGAGGGCCCCAGGGACAGGACTCAGCGAGGGGGGTGTCGGAGCAGAGGCGTGGGCGGTCAAGGGTAGGAGGGCTGGGCCGTGGCGCCGCTGGCTCCCCACCCCCCAAGCACCCTCCCGGGCGGCTGCCGTGCCCACCAAGGAGAAGCCCGGGAGGCGTCCCCCACAGCCAGCGGAGTGGGACGCAGGACGCGGAGTCCCTTTGCGCAGCGAGAAGGATCTTTACGTTGTCTGTTTTGCTGAGAAAACACTAAGATGGAGACTTCCCGTTTGTTTGTTTAGTCGAATAATATCAGTTGTACCCCTCCCTTTGTGAACCCCAAGAAAACAAAAGCCGTTCATCATGGACACCGGGCCCAGCAGCTCTACGGACAAATTGTCCGGCTTTCTGGCAACACAGACGTGTAGACAAGCTGCCCCCGGCAAGCCCACCGCCTGGACAGCAGGTCCGCTGACGCGGGAACGGAGGGCTTTGCGCCCTGAGCGGGCGCCGTCTGTGTCTCCAGGGCCCGGGCTCTCGTGCTGTCGTCCTTGCCGACACAGGAGAGGCCTCCGCCCCGCCGCGTGCTGACCCGGGTCCCAGGGGTCGTCCCATAGCCAACCCTGAGCCAGACGACACTCGGCCACCGAGGAACATGCGGACCGGAGCGTGCGTTTGGAGGGGCAGGAGGCTGGCCTTGCCCGCGAGGTCGGTGCGTGACCGGCAGTGACCGGGAGGGTGGGAGGTGGCGTGGCCAGCAAACAGCAGTTGGGTCTTGAGGACGAGCGTCGGGACTAAGGTCTGAACGGGGGGCCCAGGCTGGGCCGGGCCCGCCGGATGGCGAGTGGACTCGGCAGGGTGGCTTCACGTGCACAGATTCCCGCTTCCCGCGGGTGGGCAGGAGCCCCGCCAGAGCACTTCTAGAAGAGCCGACGCTCCCGGAAGTCATTCTGGCCCCGGCCCACCGGGAGCGAGAGCAAAGCCAGGGCCCCCGGTGGCAAAGCGCCCACGTGGACACGGGCACTCGCCGCCCGTCTCTTACGGAATCTCACCGAGTGCAGGGCTCCCTGTGGCCACGGAGGCCACGCCGCCTCGTGGGGAGATTGAAGGATTCACGCATCCACGATGGGAAGGCCACCCGCCCGCCCTCCCACAGGCAGACCCATCAGGGGCCCCGGACCCCTGCCGCTCTCCAGTTTCCAAAACCCGGCGCCATGGACGTTATCCTATCTGCATCCATCCCCTCCCCTCCAGGAAGACCAGTGTGTGGTCAGCTTGCAGGACATTCCAGGACGTTGCTGGCTCTCCCAGGACTGCGTAGCCGGGAAGATGGCTTTGGGGTGGCACGCCCTGTGTTAGCTCGGGCAGCCACGACTCAAACCACATCCTGGAGGCTGCAGGTCCGAGATCCAGGCGTGGGCAAGGCTGGTGTCTCCCACGTCTCCATGCGGTCGTCCCTCTGTGCATGTCTGTGTCCTGGCCTCCTCTCCTCGCGGGGACACAGGTCCTGGTGGATCAGAGCCACCTCAGTGACCTCATTTAACCTGGATGACCTCTCTGAAGGCCTGCTCTCTGCACAGTCACGTAGGGGGTTAGAGCTTCCATTGACTGATTTGGGGGCCACGGTTCAGTCCATAACACACCTGTTTGGGAGGAGGTGGTCACACCGTGACCACAGACAGCCGGGGAGCGTGGCCGTGCAGGCCCCAGGAGGCTGGCCGATGGCATGGCGGCAGGGCACAATGTCACGCCCCAGGCCGCCAGGCGATGCCTACAGATCCCTGCTTTGCGCATCGCCAGTCACCCTGGGAGACCTGCCTCCCGGAAATCAGAGCCCGTTTTATCAGACTCCCACTTTGTAAAAATCACTTAATCTTTCTTCCCTGGTTTAATGAGCTCCAGAGCTCTGAGCTGTATTTAAATAGATCGCCACAATGACAGCACATCCTCTTTGGGACTGAAAACAAATCTACTTCAACCTGAGATTTCTACAGAAGACAGCTCAGTGAAGTGAAGTGAATTCGGGGCAGGAAGCTCACCTTCCAGACCCTGTAATTAACGCATTAAAATGTGTGTGTGGGGTCCCAGCGGGCCCCCGAAGGGCAAAATGGAGCATGTGTGGGATGCAGGCCGTCAAGGCTCAGCCTCTGTGTCCGCACACGCACCTGCTCTGGGGTCTGCGTCCGGGGCATCTGTGCCCCGGCCTGTGACGCCCTTCGGGAGACGGTTTCTCGTGTGCCGAAGTTCACGGCGTCGCCGCTGACACGGTCATCTGGGGGCGCTCCCTCTCACCCGATCGCTGTCCTTCTAGGGGTCCTGAGACAACAGCCCCCCACCCAGCCCCAGTCAACACGGCTCCTCCCTCCGGGCCTCCCGGGAGGGGAGAGCTCATACTGTAGGGACAGGCCCTGGCCCTGCGCGCGTCCCCCAGGGCTCCGGAGGGGCCGTGCCGGGCTGGCTCGCTTGTGCCGCTGACCGCCTGCTTCCCCTGTGCCTCCAGATGCTGAGCTGCCTGGAGCACATGTACCACGACCTGGGCCTGGTCCGAGACTTCTCCATCCACCCCGTCACGCTCAGGAGATGGCTGGTGAGTGCGGGCCCCTCACGTCCCTCTTGAACAACACAGTGCCTTCCGGTTACTCGGGAACAGACCGGCCAGGCACCTTCCTGGACGGACGGAGGAGACGTCCCCAGGAGAGTTTTGTGAGAACAGGCGGCCAGGGTCCGTCTGTCTCCTGCCAGAATACTCAGTCCCCCTAAACCCCTGCTCTGGCGGCGAGAGTGAGAACCAGGGAGGGGTCGGTGAAGCAGCCTGTGAGGGTGAGTGTGCAGGTGTGTCTGTGTGAGTGCGTGTGCAGAGAGCAGAGTGCGTGTACGTGTATGAGTGTGTGAATGTGTGTTTCACAATAGATTTTTTTGTAAATAAAAGATTGCTCGGAACCAAGTAGGAAAAGCTTAAACGTCAAATATGAAAATATGAAAACGTGTGATGGTGACTGGGACCCAGAGCCCCTCCTGTAACCCCCAGCCCTTCCCCCGGCTTCACGTCCCCACGTGGCCCCTCAGAGCCCCCCTGGGGGCACCTCAGTCCGTGAGCCCCGGTGGAAGCCTGTTCCCCACCTGCCCTCTGAGGCCACAGGGAGGCCAGTGGGCGTCCTCGGGCCCCCGGGCCATTCGTCCTTACCTCCAGCAAGCACAGGAACACAGCCGGCCTCTGGGTCGGCCGAGGATTTCACAGAGCTGGCATTCCGAAACGCCAGCCAGCTGGCGAAATCGGAGGAAAGGTGTGCAGGGCGGGGAGGGCGGGCAGCTGCGTGCCAGCAGCCGGGACCTCTGTCTCTCCAGCTCTGCGTGCATGACAACTACAGAAACAACCCTTTCCACAACTTCCGGCATTGCTTCTGCGTGACCCAGATGATGTACAGCATGATCTGGCTCTGCCGGCTCCAGGTGCGTCTCTGGGGGGCTCCTGCTGGGGGCGGGGGCACCTCGCTCACGGACGCCGCCCCCACGCGGGGGCACGGGCTCCCCCACCCTCCCAGGGAAGCCACCTCGCCCCTTGCAAGCAGGGGCGGGGCACCGGGCAAGTGCGGGCCCGCCCTCCCGGCCCCACCCCAGAGAGCGGGCCGGTCCTCCCCATAGGCCAGCTGCTAGGGGACTTCGTCCTACCCGCGTCCCGCCTCTCCCACCCCATTCCAGCCCCCTCCTCACCCCCTCCCGCCCTCTCTCTAATCCAGGAGAAATTTTCCCAAATGGATATCTTGATTCTAATGACGGCAGCCATCTGTCACGATTTGGATCACCCAGGGTACAACAACACGTACGTGTACGATTTTTCTCTCTCTCGTCTCTTCCTTCTCAAGGGCTCTCTGGTTGTCAGAAGTGACCTCTTCAGCTTCACGCACAGACCAGTTCTGAGGTGGGGCTGCGGCCAAGGCCTCGCCAGCACCCCCGGCTCAGATGCTTAGGACACGGCTCCCACTTTGGGACTTTGTCCAGGGCCTCGGGCCCCCCCGGGGCAGACCCTTCCTGGTCGCCAAACCCCGAGGGGCCGCCGCCCTCCTTTGCGGTCCTGCTCCAGACCCTGCACGCCCCTCTGCACAGGCAGAGCCGTGGTGGTGCCCAAACTCCCCTCCGCCCGAAGCCGGGGGCGGTACCCGCACAGGATGCCCATTCTCCGGATCTCACTCCCCAGCCTGTGTCCGGCAGCAACGGGGCAGAGACTAGGACTGAGGGAGAGAAGGCGTGCAGGCCAGCAGGGGGCGGGGAGGCGCCGTGGGGGGCCAGGAGGACAGGCCAAGCTTGGCCGAATCGGTGATCCGCTCCCACCCCTGGGGTTGGGGGGGGCAGAGGCACAGAGTCCACCCCGTGTGGCCATCAGGTCCGGGCCGCGTGGCGCCCGTTCGCATCCCTAGTGAGGCACCTGTCCTTTCGGTCAGATGCATCTGTGCGGTGACATCACATATGGCCGGGAACTCGCCGGCGGCTTTCATGCCAGGCCTCCGTCAGGACGGGAGTGGGTTCCACGGTGTGGACGTCCGTGTTCCTCAGAGGAGGCCGGCACCATGAGCGCCCATTCCCCCATTTCACACTCAAGACGATGTGCACAGCACAGGCCTTAACCGCAGCCTCTGACCTCAGAACACATCTTGGTTCTTCTCCCAAACGTCTGCCTTTTGCATATGCCGATGTTTGCAAGGGGCCCGAACAGATTCCCTTCGGGGCAGCATGACTGGGAGAAGTCGAGGTGTGTTGGTGGTGTCTACTCGGCGGGATTCTAAGACCTCGAGGGTGTCTCGTTAAAGGGGCGGCAGAGTCAGAGAGCCCAGGGGAGCAGGTCCCCGGCACCTGCAGGGCACGCCCGGCTTGCCTTCCAGCCTCTGCGGGCACCGCCGCGTCCGAGCGCAGGTGCCCGAGGCTCCGCTTGCTCTCTCCCGCGATGCCAGGTACCAGATCAACGCCCGCACGGAGCTGGCCGTCCGTTACAATGACATCTCGCCCCTGGAGAACCACCACTGTGCCGTGGCCTTTCAGATCCTCGCCCAGCCCGAGTGCAACATCTTCACCAACGTGCAGCCGGACGGGTTCAAGCAGATCAGACAGGTGTGCAGGGGCCCTCTGACCGCAGAGTGGGAGGCGGTGAGCACAACCACGGAGTAGAGCCCCTCCCGCCAGCGGCCGAGGCCCCAGAAGCCCCTGGTCCCACCAGGGACCCTGAGGAACCCACCCCCCCGCCCCCTCCTCGCCCACCAAGGCCAGTGGCATTCCGGGGAGAGGCGCGCCCTCGGCATAAACACACGGGACCCCACTGACCTGCATTTCACGTCCAGTGTTTCACCCGAAGCCTTTAAGATCCGTCCTTTCTCCAGCTTGCAGCCCGGGAGAGTGGGGGTTACAGAGGTGAGGGGCACCGTGGGAACGTGCAAGCCCTGGACAGATGCACCTGCTGAGTCCAACCTAGCCGACTGTTTCCCCTGCCCCCCAGCTGCCTCCCCCTGCCCCACCCTCACCCGGTCGGCCCCACCGCCCACTTCACATAAGAGACCCCGGGGAGGCCTCTGTCTCCCTCCTGTCCTGAGACAGACGTCCACCTTGCTGGAGGTAATGCCCCCTCCCACGCAGGAGGTCCCACGCAGGAGGTCCCACACTGGGCACAGCTCTGTGCGCCACCCTCTGATGTTTTCAGGGGAGGGAAGATACCAGAATGATCTCTTGGAAGAGTGTATGGGTTGAATGGTAGCCAAAAAAAAAATTGTATGTTCACTTCTTAACCCCCAGAACCTTTTGTATGTGACTTTATTTGGAAAAGAGTCTTTGCAGTGGTGATTAAGTTAGGATCTCTGCGTGAGATTAGCTGGTGTTACCCAGGTGGGCCTAAAGCCAGTGACAGGTGTCCTTAGAAGAGACAGAGGAAGAGACAGATACATGGAAGGGAAATTGGCCTAAAGACGGAGGCAGAGGCCGGAGTGACCCGGGGCCACAGGAGCAGGAAAAGTCAGGAAGGACGTTTTCCCAGCGCCTTCAGTCTTCTGGCCTCCGGACTGGGAGAGAATGCCCCGCTGTGGTTACCCGTCACCTGGCACGCGGCACTCATGTGGCAGCCCCAGGACATGCGCACAGGGAGCCACCCTCGCGGTGAGGCACCCTACTCTGCTGTCCCACGGATGACAGCCTCACCCACCGGGTGCCCGGGGCCTCGCTTCAAGGTGCACCTGTTAAAGACGCTGGGACCCGGGCTGTCCCTCCTGGAGGTCTGACGGGCTGCACTTCATCAGAGAACACCGTCCCTCCATCTGCCATGGAAGCTCAGAGCCGAGGCCGGTGCCGAAGGACAGTCCCCATCGAGTCGCCAATTTCCGGCCCAACCATGTCCCCTTTATCTATGGGCTTTCTGGCCTCTCTTCCATGTTCTGGAGCCGCCGGCCGGGGACACCGCGAGCTGTTGGGATGAGCCCTGACGTATCTTCCTCTCCAGCGTGGGAAGGGGCGAGTCGTAGAGAGTCCCCGAGGGCTGCCGGTGAGGAGCTCCTGTGGGGAGCGACCTGGAGAAGCGAAGCAGCCGGGTCCCCTTGGTGTGTGCCCTGCCCTCCTACCCCGGGAGCAGTCAGAGCAGCATCCCCAAGCAGGGGACCCGCCTCCCTCACGCCGCCCGCCATGGGGACGCACGAGGCTTGTCAAACGTCAGACATGAGACTTTCCTGACCGTGAAATCATTCAGCCCGATTTTTAATAATATTTTGTCATCGAGTACCTTGCTTACCAAGGTAGGAAGGTATTTGTAGTTAGAGAATCATCGCATTCTCGCTTACGAATGTGTTAGTAGAACGACGCTGTCAAATGCAAGCGGGCTTTGACCACCCCCGCGCAGTGTGCGCCCAGAGTCACGTACAGATGAGACGCGACAGGGGAAAGAGACTTCTGGAAGATCGGCGATTGACCTCCGGCAACGGGACGTGAAAGGAACGGCCGTGGATCTGGATTCCTGAATTGAGGGGAAGTATCCGTCCTCAGTCGAAACCGACCGTCATCACCGGGAAGCCCAGCGCCGAGCCGGCCATCTGCAAGCCGATGGGCCTGCCCCGTCCTGGACTCGGCCCTCGGGGCCCATTTGCAGAGCACGGGTGGGCTTGAACCCCCAGCTGCGGCCCGGGAGGCTCCCCAGCCTCTCGTCTTACAAATGAGGACGGTGTTGTGCAGACGCACACGCAGAGTTGGCCCGGGCCCCGGGGAAGGGCCGTGTGCCCAGCCGGCGCTCGCTGGGTCCTTGCCGGGATTCCGCCCGGGGCTAACGCTTTGCTCTCACTTTCCAGGGGATGATCACTCTGATTCTAGCCACTGACATGGCAAGACACGCAGAAATTATGGATTCTTTCAAAGAAAAAATGGAGAATTTTGACTACAGCAACGAACAGCATGTGACCCTCGTAAGTAGATCGCTACACCCGTTTTGGGGGCCCTGGTGCACGCGTCCTACGCTCCGGCCCAGACTGGACCCCGAGACCCCAAAACCCTGAACCTTGCCCTGCAGCTCTCCCCGGGCAGCCCCCAGCGGGCCTGTCTTCCGGGTGAAGGCAGCTTTTCTGCTTCCTGTGCCGCCTTCTGATTTGAAGGTGGTACGTGGGGGAAAGCAATCCGTCCTGCTCAGTCCCGAGAATAAAGTTGGCTCTCCCACGAAGGCGGTGCCCCAGAAAACACTCCAATTACCAGCTTCCGGGCGGGCACCCCAATTACCAGCTTCTGGACGCAGCACCCCTCCCGGCCCGGCCCTCCACGAGCAGGGCCAGCTGTGCAGAGAAGGGCAGGGAGCCTCACCGTGAGGAGGGCCCACCCGGGTCTGCACCCCACCTGCCCTTCGTAAGAGAAACACGTGGAAACACCCTTCCCCGTCTTCGGAGAAAGGGGTTCTGCTGAGCCTTGTCTGGGCGTTAGGCCTGCTTTCCGGCCTTCTCTCTCTCTCTCTCTGGCTCTCTCTTTTTTAAAACCGATGGTCACTTTCTGTCCCTGGAAGCTGATGAACAAGGAAGCCCTCTGAGATCTGGCCGCCCGTCTGACGTCACGTCCCCAAAACTGATTCGTAGCTAATACACAAGGTGTGCGGGGAAGGACCTCACGTTCTGCAGAAGTTACACGGCAGGAGAAAATGTCCCCTGGGGCCAGGGCCTCCCGAGGCATCGCTTCTTGGGGACGGGGCGCAGAGAGATGCAGTCATGTGGGAGCCATGTCCCTGCTCCCGAAAACCAGCGGGTGTGGGTGGGGCCGCCTGGCCCTATGGCAGGGTGAGGGCGGTGCGTCTGGAGACAGAGGGACGAGTAGACGTGCCCCCTTTGCCTCCGTTTCCCCTCTGAAACGTAAGGAAAGACCCTGGAGGGCAGAGGCCACACGTCTGCTGCCAGTGTCAAGACCGTGAGCCGCACAGAGTGACCATCACCCCTTTACTCCCTTCCTTCAACCGTCCAAGCGGGGGGGGGGGTGGGGAAGAGGCCCCGGGTCCCCGCGGTTCCATCCACCCCCACACCGGGCGAGGGGTGGCGGCCCGCAGCACAGACCAGGGGGTCGTGCCCTGGCCGGGGAGCCCCCAGATCTCCATTTGTTCGTGCACAAGGGCTGGGGGAGGTAGAGGGGAGGAGGCCCCCAGGAGGAGGCCCGAATGCTGACGAGCTCCGCGCGGCCGGGCCTGGGGGCCTGGAAGCTTCCCGCCGCCCGGCAGCACCCAGCCTGTGCCCCGGGCCCGGCGTCGGGCCGCTGCCCCGAGAGGCCTGCCGGGCAGAGCCCTGTGATGGCCTGTGTTCTGGAGTCACCTGAGTGGAGACAAGGAAGGCCGGGATCGACTTCCGGGGACTGACAAGGGGACAGGGACAGGGGCAGCCGAGTCAGCCCAGGTTCAGCTGAGGCCGCGCCAGGGTTTGAGCCGAGCAGAGCCTTGCCTAGTCGCCTTGCCCACCTGCGCCTGCCGGGAGGCCGGGGTGCGCCCGGGGCCCGCAGCCCTGAGCTGATGTGCCCGGGAGCACCGCCTGCTGAGTCAGCGTCACACCCTGAGCGCCGGCCCACACATCGGTGACTCCCGGGGCCCAGGACATCAGTGACTCCCGGGGACGGTCGTGTGCCGGCCCCAAAGGCACCCGCCTTCGGGCGCAGGGGCAAACTCCCTGGCCCGACCGGTCTCCTGAAGTGCCCACTGGGCGCGCAAACCTCACCAGACTCGGAGGGCTGGTCTCCGGGGAGGACGAAGTCCAGACCCAAACGGCAGCAGGGGGACGTGCTCTGGGCCCCGCTGATCCCCCCTTGTCTTCCAGCTGAAGATGATTCTGATAAAATGCTGTGATATCTCCAACGAGGTGCGTCCGATGGCAGTTGCAGAACCTTGGGTGGACCGCTTGTTGGAAGAGTATTTCATGCAGGTGAGAGCGTCCCAGTGCCACCAAACCCCCAGCGGGGGCCCCGTGTTGGAAAGGGGGATGGCTGTGCCCGGGGGACGAGTGGACGGGAGCGGACAGTCTCTGGCCCCCAGAATGCCTCACGGCAGGTGCACATCCGAGAGGAAAGACGGCCACAGCCTGCAAAGTAGCGTCGACAGCTGCCACCGGGGACCACGAAAGAGCAGTGAATGGGGGCGGCAGTGTCGGGCAAGTGGCCTGAAAGGGAAGAGGCAGAGGCAGGAGGGGAGGCTCCCCCGGGGCGGGTGACACCAAGCAGGTCGGCCTACGCTTTGAGGCCCGGGGAGGCCCTCAGACAGAAGACCAACCAGCCCACGCGGGAGGTGCCGGAAGGGCCAGTAGGGCGCTCGCAACGTCAGCGTGGTGGACCCCGGGTTCAGAGCCGAGAGCCGAGAGCCGCCTGGCGACTCACCCCCCACCCTCCACCCTGTCCCTCCGCCCTGTCGTCACGGCGCGGCCCTGCCTGCCCAGCTCCTGCCACCCGTCCTGGTGGCTGTGAACGTCCCCACGATGGAGCGCGCTGGCTGGCGGTGGCACGTTAACCTGCCTTCTGCCCTCTGAGGCCGGTGACCCTCGGGGCCCCCCAGATTCCGCGCTTTCCAACGTTTCGGGCTGTTGCCTCCCTGCAGAGCGACCGCGAGAAGTCGGAAGGCCTTCCCGTGGCCCCTTTCATGGACCGGGACAAAGTGACCAAAGCCACGGCCCAAATTGGGTTCATCAAGTTTGTCCTGATCCCCATGTTTGAAACGGTGACCAAGGTGAGTGACCATCACCGCATGCTGAATGACGTCGCGCTGAGAAGCACACACGTGCACACACGTGCACACACGCACCAGCGTGCTGTAGCTGCCTGCTCAGTGCCCCCCTCCAGCACGCCCAGAACACCCTCTCGTCCCCCCTGTCTTGTCCCTCCCGGTCTTCCGGCCTCCCTGCCCCCTGGGGCCCCCCTCTGCCCTCCACTCCCAGGGCACCTCTGCTGACCTGCCCCATCCACGGGCACACGGCCATCCCCAGGCAGATTTCAGCAAGGAGACTATCTCTGCCTCTCTCCCGAACCTTCCATGGCTCCCCACTGCCCACGACGCAGGGAAAACTGTCCGCCTCGTTACACACAGTCCCCCACCCTCCCTAGCACTCCGGTCGTGCAGGACGGCCCCCAGTTCCTGGTCCTCCCCTTTCTTCAGACCACCTCTGAGTGTGTCCCTTCAGCTGGCCTTGGCCCCGTCCCACCCGCCAGCCTTCCAGAACCGCCTCAGCACACCCTTCCCTAAACCCCATTCACTCCCGCTTCTCTGGGGCCTCGGCCTTCCTGCACATTCCTTCACGGACTTCTGGGCCTTCGCCACGGCCAGCGGGGACAGGGGCACAGCGCTGCCACATCGGGCCTGCCCCCCTCCGGCAGCAGGATCGGGATGTGACTGGGGAGGCACGGAAGGCATGCCGGGGCCCAGAGCTACGCGCGCAGGGTTCCGTGGGGCCGGGATGGCAGGATGGCCCGAGTGAAGGCGGACGGCCGAGGCCCTGCCGCGGGAATGGCCTGTCTCCTCCGGCCACCGCGGCCGTGCAGAGACCAGAGGCGAGGCTGGTGTGTGGAACATGGACACTGGGGGACGGGCAGGTGGAGGGCAGGTCCGTGCGAAGGGACAGGGCAGAAAGAGAGCAGGACCCGGATGTGGGTGGGCAGGGGCAGGTGGGAGGGTCTCCAGGAGGGTCTGCAGGAGCCACTGACCGGACGGCCTCAGAACCCGGGTCAGCGTGGACCCTGCTGCGGGCGGGACCCCAGGGCTCCACGGGGTGCGGGGGACTGACTCACTGCCTGAGCCCCTGAGCCACGCAGGACCCGACACCTGGCCTCCCGGACGCCGCGGCCGCGTGGAAAGACAGCCTGAACACATCTGCTTGTCCCTCCCAGCTCTTCCCTGTGGTCGAGGAACTCATGCTGCGGCCCCTTTGGGAATCCAGAGACCGTTACGAGGAACTGAAACAAAGAGATGACTCCTTGAAAGAGGTAAAGCGAGCCGGGCAGGAAACGCGGTCCTCCCCGGGGACTGGCCGAGCCGGGCACCCCTGCAGGGGCCGCTGCGGACTCATTTCCACCACCACCCCCCGAAGTCCAGACCCAGGCAAACCGGGGAGCATCTACTCTCAGCGAAACCAAACGGCCCCCGATGGCCCGCGCCCCTCGGAGGGGCCACGTCGTCCCCAAAACCTGTGCTGCAATCGGGTGGGCCAGGGCGTCGCG